TGTGGGAAGGATGGATGGGGCCATGTATCGTGAGATTTTGGCCAACAACCTCCTTCCCTCAGTAAGAGCACTGAAGATGGGTCGTGGCCGGGTCTTCCAGCATGATAACGACCCAAAACACACAGCCAGGGCAACTAAAGAGTGGCTCCGTAGGAAACATCTTAAGGTCCTGGAGTGGCCTAGCCAGTCTCCAGACCTGAATCCCATAGAAAATCTTTGGAAGGAGCTTAAAGTCCGTGTGTCCCAGCGACAGCCCCGAAACCTGAAGGCTCTGGAGGAGATCTGTATGGAGGAGTGGGCCAAAATCCCTGCTGCAGTGTGTGCAAACCTGGTCAAGAACTACAGGAAACGTCTGATCTCTAATTGCAAACAAAGGTTTCTGTACCAAATATTAAGTTTCATTTTTCTGGTGTATCAAATACTTATTTCACACAATAAAATGGAAATTAATTGTTTAAAATTCATACATTGTATTTTTCTGGATTTTTGTTTTAGATTCCATCACTCACAGTTGAAGAGTACCTAAGATAAAAATTACAGTAATCTACAAGCTTTGCAAGTGGGAAAACCTGAAAAATCAACAGTCTATCAAATACTTGTTCTCCCCACTGTATATATGTGTATGTGTGTGTGTGTGTGTGTGTGTGTGTGTGTGTCTTAAGACAATGTACAAACCTTACCTCTCCTTTCACCATGCGAACCTTTGCCAGCCACCATCCACATGGCTCTTTGTCATTAGCCCTTGAATACACCTGTACACACACATTCCCACACAGAGTAAATATCTATAAAGAAAAATCAGCTTGACAGGATTTGGAGCAAAGGATTTGTGCACATTATTTTCATATAATTCTGTAAAAAACTGACATCCAAAGACATGTTTGTTGAAAAAGTGGGTGAATAATTTGCATACAGTTTAAGTTGAACACAGTGGAGTGTGTTTATTGGTTTGGAATAAGCGTTTACCAACATGTGTGAAAACAGGAGTAGGGCTGCAACAACGAATTGAAAAAATGTATAAAAATTGATTATTAAAAGTGTTGGCAACAAATTTCATTATCGATTTGTTGTGTTGAGCAATTATGAGTCACCACGTTTCGGAGCCGTTTTCTTCACCTGCAGAGCATCGTCAATGCTGGCCGACTAAATTAAGTTGATTTGTTTGTTTTTTAACTCTGCAGAGTGAGTTAAATGGAGCAAGGCCAAAGGTGGAAGCAGAGCAGAGGCGGTGTTTTCAAAGGAAATTAATTAGATTTTACAAATGACTGATGCCGAGAAAACAGTTCAACCCAAATCCTCAGAAGTGTGGGAGCACGTTTCACGCTTCACAAAGCTAAAAAATGTGTAACATGTAAGCCTTGCAAAAGTGACGACATGGCACCACGGTGAAACGTAAACATGTCGAAGTCATCGATGAAGGGAGCTCATCAGCAGGGTAAGTCTCTACAATATCCTACATTTGGTCCATTTCCAAGAGAGAAAACCTAACGTCAGTCTCTCCAGTATCTGGCCTAATGCTGCTGGTTGTTTGTTAACTGATTAATGACAGTGATAGACGTGTTACTTTTTATTTCAATTTAATTGGTACAAGCAGTGTTTAAATGTGATTAATAAATAAAGCTAACACAAAGATGGTAATAATTTAATGATTAAGCTTCAAGTTTTAATTTGCCAGCAAAGTCTGAGTGAAGACACTGCACTGTAAGGCAGGACGAATTGCATTTAAACAAGAATTAAAGTAATTTATTGCATCTACTCAAATGTGTGTAATTAACACACACATACACACACACACATATATATATATACACACATACACATATACCTATGTATCAACCAGTTCAGATCAACCACTCTGAGAAGGTGCTATTTAAGAGACTGAGCTGAAAACAGCACCTCAGACTGAGGAAGTCTCTCGGATGAGAGACGAAACGTTTCTACATTTTTTTTGCTTTGTTTTGTTGTTGTTTTTGTTTGTTTTCTTGTTTTTTGAATGTCCAGAAAACCAGTTTGAACTTTTTTGTATTTTTCTACCTGGATTATTGAGCATGTATCAGAACACATGGTCTTTCTTATTCCAGAAAAAAAAACTGCCATCATGAAGGCTGTCATTGTTTGCTAAGACATCATGCACACCACAGCAAGCAGCTGTCTTGACTGTGTAGTGAACTTAAATTACATTTGTAAAATAGTAATGATAATAAAAAAGAGAGTGTTCTTTTCACTTGAATCTTCAAGAAAGAAAGTCTCAGGATGGGTGAACCTGTATTTCTGGATTAAAATCAATAAAATGACAGTTCCTGTCCCACAAGGTTCTTAAGGTCAAGGGTTTTGACCTTAGGCTTAGTCGTGACACCAGATTAAGTTCACTACAACTGAAAGCATCCTGAACATGATCGCCACCAACATGAGGCCTCTGTCGATGGTTGAAGACGAAGGCTTCACTACAATGAGCCACACTTTTGTTACACTCTTCTCCCAAGTACACATTTTACAAAGCTCATGGAAAGAATGTGCGATTTGAGTGTGTAATTTGCTATGTCAGTCAAATGTTTTATTTTGTAATAAAAAGGTGGAAATCTAAACATTTTTTGGCCAATTCATCGAGTCACCAAAAAATAATCAACATCGATTATTAAAATAATCGACATTGATTATTAAAATAATCGTTAGTTGCAGCCTTAATTTACAGTGGTGCTATGAAGTTTGTGAACCCTTTAAAGTGTTCTAAATTTCTGCAAAAATAAAACCTAAAACATCATCCAATATTTTAGGACATAAGTCCTAAAGTAGATAAAGAGAGCCTAGTTCAACAAATGAAACAAAAATATTATATTTTGTGATTGATGGATTGATTGGTTGGTTGGTTGATGCATGAGCCACCTTCTCTTGAGAGTCAGTTCATGGATAGATGTCCTGACATTTTCCTTTAGAATTCTCTGATAATTCAGAATTCATTGTTCCATCAATGATGGCAATCCATCCTGGCCCAGACAGAAACAAAACAGGCCCAAACCACAATACTACCACCACCATGTTTCACAGATGGGATAAGGTTTTTATGCAGGAATGCAGTTTTCCTTTCTCCAAACATAATGCTTTTAATTAAAAGTTCTATTTTGGTCTCATCCGTCCACAAAACATTCTTCCAACAGCCTTCTGGCTTGTCCATGTGATCTTTAGCAAACTGAAAACAATCAGCCATGTTCTTTTTGGAGAGCAGTGTCTTCTCCTTCAACCCTGCCATGCAAACCATTGTTGTTCAGTGTTCTCCTGATGGTGGACTCATGAACATCAACATCAGCCAATGTGAGAGAGGCCTTCAGTTGCTTAGAAATTACCCTGGGGTCCTTTGTGGCCTGCCAACTATTCAACGCCTTGCACTTGGAGTGATCTTTGTTGGTCCTCCATTTGTACACAATATGTCTGACTGTAGATTGGTGGAGTCCAAACTCTTTAGAGATGTCCTGATGCATGCTAAATAATCCAAGTGGAAAAAAAACTAACAAGTTAAATTAGGTCCTCTGGACAGATGCAAAAAGTAAAAAAATTAATTAAATTAAACTAGTTGAAACATTTCATCTTCAATCCAAGAGACACTGACGAAGTCTCTTGGATTAAAGACAAAACGTTTCAATTTCTATTTTTTTATGTTTTACTTTATGCATCTGTCCAGAGGACATGACTTAACTTGGTTAGATCTTTAAAGATGGTTTTGTAACCGTTTCCAGCCTGATGAGCATCAACAACTCTTTCTCTGAGGACCTCATTTAATCATGCTATGATACACTTCCACAAACATGTTGTGAAAAGCAGACTTTAACAGATCCCTGTTCTTTAAATCAAACAGGGTGCCCACTCTCACCTGGTCAACATCCCATTGATTGAAAACACCTCACTCTAATTTCACCTTATCTTCGTCTCAGGGCACCCCTCCAACTCTCGTCTAACCGGTAATTGGATGCCCCTAGACTCCTGAGTATTATCCAAACAATACTACAGGGCGGCTGTGGCTGAGTGGTTAGAGCAGTCGTCCTCCAATGCAAGAGTTGGGGGTTCGAATCCACCAGCAGACACATGCCAAAGAGTCCCTGGGCAAGACACTGAACCCCTAGTTGCCTCCGATATGTGTCCCATCGGTGTAGGAATGTGATAAAGCACTGATTAGTCTCTTTAGAATGATTTGTTCAATTAGCTTCGTAGAGATCTAGTAGAGTGCTGTATGAATGGGTAAATGAGGCACAGATTGTAGTGTAAAGTGCTTTGAGTCTCTCGATAAGATAGAAAGGCACTATATAAGTACAGTCCATTACTACGGTCAGGCCCTCTTACGCTGTGTTTGAGAAAGATTCGACTAGGCACTAACAACCTTCATCTGTAAGACGCACCCCTATTTCACCTCACAGCTCTTAGAGTCAAGTAGCAGTGACCCCAAAGTTTACCATAAAGTATCCTGCATTATGGCTGCTCTTCCTCTATTTGACGTTTCACAATTGGTACAAGACCTAGTAATTTTCCTAGGCTAGGACAAGTTGGCCATATGGGGATACTGTTCAAAAATCTAAGTAACCGTTCAAAACCTCCAAAAATCTCAGAACCAAGCACACTTTCTCACTAAGTTCAGCAATGTGAATGTATCATTCAGATGTCATCAGGTAAATGAGTCCAACACCTATGATTTTCATGCTTTGTGTTTTTAAGTACCGGTTTCAGTTCCGGTAAGCTGATGGACGGCATCTTCCCGGGCTTCTCTCAAGTCTTTTATCATCAAACTGACCCGTTTTTTCTAACCGGACCAAAGTTGGTACCCCTTCCAACCGAATTTGGTGTTCAGTGACTCAGAGAGCCGGACGGGACCGTACAAAAAATTATTTCGGTCCAGGACCTCCAGGTCCAGGATCGTCCCTCGGCACACAGTTGGCTGTCCGCAGTGATGAGGAGCTCGGAAGACTGTGGGAGGAGCGGCCATCGTTCTGGGAGGAGTTCTGTCTGGCATTCGGGCGGTCCTACAGCCCGGGGGAACAGAGAGGTCAGCCAAGTCTGGGTGGATGGACCTGACGGCATCTGCAGCCGGTTTCTTAGGATCCACTGTGGGATGGATCTTTACAAGAGATCCTTCCTGCTTACAGCCATCAGTATCTACAAACCGGATTCCAAAAAAGTTGGGACACTAAAGAAATTGTGAATAAAAACTGAATGCAATGATGTGGAGATGGCAAATGTCAATATTTTATTCGTAATATAACATAGATGACAGATCATAAGTTTAATCTGAGTAAATGTAACATTTTAAAGGTTTTATTTATTTATTTATTTTTGTATCGAGATCTATGACATCATCAAATACTCGAGTTCTACTCGGGTTTTATTATGTTAATGTCAAGTTTAAAAATTATATACTCGTTCAACCTCTAGTTCATGCCCTAATGTAAACGCACGTAGCCTTCTGAGAAAACTTGATGCCTTGAAAATTCTGGTCAGTTCTTTTGGGGCAGATGTTATCTTCATCTCTGAAACCTGGCTCAACAAATCTGTACTGAATAATGACCTGGTAATCAATGGATTTAACATCTATCGCTGTGATCGTCAAAAAAAAAAAGGGGGGGGGGTCGCTGTTTACATCAGAGATTCTCTGGTTTCTAGTCTTGTCTGCTAAAACAATTCCAAACCAGTTTGATGCCTTAGCTGTAAACATCACGTTGAATGGAGGCCAGATCTTATCTGTGGTGGGTTGTTATCGTTCCCCCTCAGC